GATCTGCACAAACAAGATATCATATGAAAGCTGAGATTCCACAGATTCCAATGGTATAAGTATCATCACTAAGCGACCAAAACTCGCGGCAGCGAAGACAAAACCAGACAACACACAACTTAGCTTTACGGGGCCAAAACGTCAAACACGTCTTACCTTTGCTGTTTTCTGATCAAAAGTTGTGTTCAAGGGCATTAAAACGCATATAAACGCTGCTGAAGGTTAATCCAATGTCTCTGTGTCACTTTGAAATGATTACTGATAATCCATCATAACATGTTGTTAATAAGAGTATTTTTCATATAGTGTATGAGAGCTGTAACTCAGCTTCCGGTTTTGGGCATGCTGGCTGCGCATCCTCTCCTTCACCAATGGTAATGTTTAGATGGATTTAGGAACTTCCCCTCGATTATATTGGCTCTAACGGTTAAAAAGAGATGTCAATCACCAAAATCGACCGATGGGTTCCAGAGATATGGCAAATCCCCCCAAATAACCCCAGAAGTGTTTTTTTTTCTAAATCTCTCTAAAAAGGTCAAATGCAGTTGTTTTACATCAATCTTGATACAGGGTACTTATTATGTTATAGTTTGGATTCCTAAAGCTTTTAGTCTACTATCCCATCATTCAAGTGTGGTTTTCACTATAAGTAATGTTTTTTTTTTTGGACGGACACTATCATTTACATTTTTTTACTATGTTCAATCTGAATTTACTTTAAAATAAAAACATCTATATTGATTCTGACTGTTCTACATCCAACTCACCGGTGTATCATTGCTTTGAGAAAAAAGATGATTAATGTACCCCTTTTAGAAGTGAAGATATGGTCATTTGTTCTGGGAATGTCCTTTTCGAGCCTGAGACCTGAAAAACAGGCTTGGGGCTTAACAGGTTTTAAGGTGTCCAAAAAAACAGCCTCTGCTGCCCTGTCCAATTTGCCTTCTAAATCACAGGAATTCATGTGTCATCTTTAAGTAACATGCTTTTATTTGGAAACTATGGTCATGATGGATCATTGTATTTTATGACTTACACCTAGTGGTTCAAAGCAGTTTTTTTCAGTACTCCAATCCCTTTCCCCCTGTGTTCCAGAGCCGAGAAGGGGTCCCTGGAGGCAGCTCTGTTCGAGAGCCAGGAGCTTGCCTCTTCTCTGGAGGCTCAGTGCACCAGGAAGGAGGGGGAGAGGCGCAGCTTACTCCTGGCTAATGAGGCCTTGACGCGTGAGTAGCCCCCTCCCTCAGAGAACCCACTGTCCTTCGTGCCAATCCCCCTGGCCATGAAGCCCTTCCAAACAGCCCACTAGAGATCCATATTTCATCCGTGAGCTCTGCAACAGCTGGGCTTTGGGATCAATGGGGCTGCTTTCTCAGCTGACCAGGGCCCCACCACTCCGCACAAACACACATGGAATGGATAAGTCGTGTTAAGCTAGTGTGTTCCACATAAAGACATGGATGAGTATCCCCTATAAATAAAACTGTAAATGAAATCTTGCAGATCCTGAGTGAATCCATCTAATAATTGAGTGGGATTTTTATCGAAATTGGATACATCTCTCTAGGTGATGCTGCTCGGATGCGCGAAGATGGTGAACTGCGAGTTGAACAAGCTGTAAAAGCGCAGACTGAACTGGAGAAGAAGCTGGCCCAGATGGAGAGGAAGACCCTGCTGACCCTGAACAACACAGAGCAACTTCACAGAGAGCAGCTTGAAGCTGAATGCCATCTTAAGGTTCAGTCAGACTTGAAAAATTGTGCGTGCTTATCACAATGTGAGTCATATGCTTTAGCTAACTAATCAGAAGTGTATGTGTTTGGTGGGTGACAGGAGCAAGAATATGCAGAGCTGACAATTGAGCGGGAGCAGGCAGGGGAGCAGCTGCGCAGACAGTGTGAGGAGCAGCTGCGCAGACAGTGTGAGGAGCAGCGAGCGCTCAGCCAGAAGGAGCTACAACAGGTGCAGGAGGAAGTGGCCCGGCTGCAGCAGGACTTCAACCAAAGCCTCCTGCAGGCTGAGTGTGAAAAGCAACAGGTCTGTGAGGTGGTCTTCATAGGTTTTTCTGGAATGTTTATGAACCTATATTCCTAGATATAGACACTTTAAGAAGTATAAAATAAAATAAAAAAAGACATATCAATAAATATATAAAAATAGCGGTCTTCACACAAATGTAGACATGACACGGGTGTAAGTCTAGTCTGGTAGAATAGACTTCTAAACAGATTAATATTATGATGAATAATAAACGCATACCTAGTTTTGCCTTCACAGTTGCCACTGTACAGTATGTCAATCAAGAGCCATAAATCCTTCAAAACCCTTATGCAAGACGCCAGTTCCATTCTTTGTCCTTCAGTGGAAGTTTCTCTCAAGCACTACAGTATATTGCTTCTTTTTGTCCCAGTTCCCATGGCCAAACTTTTTAGTGAGCTATATAATAAATGACCCTGACCTCGCAATCTGTCGTTAACAGGCTTTGTCCCAGAAGGAGGCAGAGAAGGCCGCTCTGACGGAGAAGCTAGCAGCCCTGCAGCAGGAGCTAGCCACAGCAGGCAAGAAGCTCGAGTGCATGCAGAGGGAGGCACGCAACAAACACGAGCAGAATAAGGTATATATATATAGTGTAAAAGGTATATATAAGGTATCAATATAATATATGGCAGGGTCACATTGGCCTGTTTCTCTTTTCTTATTTTTCACATACCAACCGATTTGTGTTCCAGAATGCTACGGCTGTCCACTGGTCTGAGCTGCATGATTTGAGGTCTCAATTTGAGGAGTCTTTGAACTCCCATGAGAATGCTAAGAGCAGTCTAAGTGAGAGAAAAGAGTTATACCAACTGAGAGAACATACACAACAGGAGGTAAGCACTTTAAACATATTTTCAGCCTTTTCTTTAAGTATAAACATACACTATTATTCTCCTTAAATTAGACTCAGTTATACACAATATTAGGGAAAAGCTAAATGTAAGAACATGTTTTATCTCCTTATAGGATATTTTCCTTAATGTTATCAGGTCATAAGATTACAATATCAGCCTGTAAGTTGCAAAAACAAGTACTTTTAGTGGATGTACATTGACAGTGTAGAATACCTACGGCCTGGTTGTCTCAACACTAAACCTAAGAACTGCTGAACTGATGAAAAGTACCAAAAGGGACCCTTCAAGTGAATGATAGCATTTTTATATAATCAGTGATTTAATAAACAAATCATATTATATGTGGTTTGTTTGTCACCAGAGGCGGCCTGATTCTTAATGCAGGATCGCAGAAATGGATGGGAAACGAAAGGCTTGTTTGGCTTGGCATAGGATAGGATACCATCTTCTTCTAACGTGAGGGGAGTTTGCACCAATTAGTACCAGTGTGAGGGAGAGCCATTTACCATAGGTTGCTGTTGACATTGGCCACTGTCAGGGAGCTTTACTAGCAGTGCCATCAGGTGCAGAGTGTAGGGCCAAATCACACAAGGAGAGGTGGTGTCCAATCTTAAGACTACCTCTCAGCACACGCTCTGCATCTTTTTCCTGTCAAGTTCACTGGAGGAAAATGTAGTTCCATTGACTTTAATATAAACATAAAAGAGCAATTAAAGACTATAATTTTGGCCCAGTGACATACCTCCCAGAGCCAAATGAGAGCTGTAAATCTCATCTCATGGGGTTGCCTCAGGTCAGGATTGTAGCCACAGGGTCGCTGGGCGTTTTAGTAAAATAACAAGCTCACAGTCACCTCATTAAGATATAACTGCAGGGCCTCACCAGGCCTTGATTTAAAAGACTGTTTTCCCTGGAAAAGGGTATTGTTTATCTATGTGGGACTTTTTGGTTTCAATGAAAAAGCAAAACTGAGGATCATCTTGTCTTCACTCCGCTCCTTAGTCTTGTCAAAGTATTGTGAATGAGGTTGTGTGGAGCCAGAGCAGCAGGGTTTTGAGGTTTGGACAGCACTTCCCTAACATATATCAAGCCAAGCATCAGCGACACTGTCATATTTGGCCGCCCCGCTTGCTATTTTTCTTGTTTGATTATTTTCCCTAATCCCATCTCTGGATTCTCATGTCAGACACTGACAAAGCACGAGTGATAGTATGTGACAGAGAGCTACTGAGCATGAAAAGTAAGAAAGAGAGGCAAGACAAGAGAGCGAGAGGGTGGTGGGTACAATCCTTGGTACCATAATATGAAATCAAAGTTTGAGTTAACCCCTTGTGTAAATAAGCCGGTTGGGGAGTGTTTATTTTCTCGCTTGCAGCAGCGAGAGGCTGGCTCCACTGGGACTCCAGGTCCCCCTCTCCCATCCACATAACACAACACTGCTGCCCTCATATTCCCTGCCCTTCTCCTCCGCAACCCCCCACAAAATAAGATAAAATAAAGTATAATTGGCAAGATCAGCACTGGCTTGTTTTTTCTCACATTAGAGTTTATGAGAAAAAAACATCTTGTGTGGCCTCTGAACATAACACTCTTCCTCTTCATCCTGCTCCTCATCCTCCGTCTTTCCCATCCCCCCATCCCCCCATCCCCCCTGTGGGGTCTGCTGTTTCTCATGTTGCTCTCTGAGGAAGTTCACGCTGCGAGCCGCAGTAAGGAGACGGGGAAAGACAGCACCTGGCTGCAGGCCTACTGGCTCTTATCCATGCCCTGATAAGCTCTGTCCTCCCTATTCCTCTTGCTGCGCACAACATATTGCCTTAACACATATGTATATATGTATAGGTCATACGGTGTCAGGTGATTAGAATAGGAGATGTTGAGGTTACAAACAATGGAGCTCTTATGCATTATCTGATCTCAAATCAGTCCTATAGTAAGCTGAAGGGTTTTTCCTTTTCAATTTTCATTATTACATACATGTGCTTAATCTTTTGATGTAACTTAAAGATTTTATAGAATATAAAGACTTTATTGTGTTTGGTTATTGATTAATGTTGAAGACAGACAGTTAGTAGCAGCTGTTTAAGACTTTTTTCTTTCTTAAAGTTCTAATTATCTCCTCGGTAAACCATGATATACAGTATATCCTTTACAGTCAAGATTGCAACGAAGATGATACGTTGGGTTTTATTCATCTTATATTGTGCCTAACTGGTTCATTTCATATCAGGAAAGGAATTAATCTGAATGAGGCTCCAGTTTAAAATGATTACAAACTGTTCTATGAAAGGCATTGTATGAGCCACCTTAAATACCAAAATGTGGCCCTCCACAGATAACATAAGGTTTGTTTTTAGCCTAGAAAGGACATGCCTTTTGCTATTGAAGCAGCTTGATAGGAGGAGTGAGGAATCAGCTGTCAGTGAAGGTATTTAGTAGTTTAAAACTGAAGATTTTCAAATGAAATCACTGCAACTACAAGAGGTCCTTGATCACACAGTACAGTCATAAATGTAAAAATATTAAGTTGATAAGTAGTATAAGGTGTGGACAGACACCTTACAGCATACTACTTATGTAGTAAACATACTCTGATTAACACTTATAATAATAATAATAATAATAATAATAATAATGAATGGTATTTATTTTAGCGCTTTTCCGTTTAATGTAAAGTGCTCAAAGCACTTTACATTAAATATGACATATATTAGACATGTTATACATTGTATACTGTGGACGATTCCCAAAGGAGCAATTTAACTTATAAGAGATAATAAGAGGTTTACTGTCCACCCATTAGACCTACTTATTTATCCTTATATTGACATTTCATGCCTTTTTCGTTCTCCATCATCTGGACATGAAGTTGGAGGGCCTTCGCTGGCAGCTGCAGGAGGCAAAGGATGGACTTATTAAAGCACAGACTGAGCTGATGGAGGCTCACAGAGAGCTCCAGGAGTGTGTACAGGAACGGGACAAGCAACGGAAAGAGGCTCTTGACCTGAGAAGGCTAATGGGAGACGGGACCAGAGAGAAAGAGGCTATACAAGCCTCTAACCAGGAGCTGAGAGCTTTTATCAAGAGAGCAGAGAGTGACAACAACAGGTATGGCTGTCACATGGAACTGCAGATTTTTCTTTTATTCAGTTTATTTTTCTGAGTTTGTTCATCTGGAATGGAGATTTTGTCTTTCGAACTTTATAAATCTATTGACTAGATTGAGACGAGCATTTGAGGAGAGGGATCAGAAAGTGTCTGTCTCAGAGGAATGTAGGAACTCCATGCTCCAAGAGGTAACCACTCTCCGGAGCAGTCTGAGAGAGCTGGAGAAGTCTCGCCTGCAAGCACGCAGAAACCTGCAGGAGCTGCGCAGACAGGTGAAAGATTATTGAGCTAACAGCTTTCCATCTGATTTATTTTAAATAAAGGATTACCTTCAAGTACCATATGCTTTGTTACTATGAGCAGGTTAAGGTCCTTAAAGGCGAGGACAGCCGTAAGAAACAGGAGCTGCGAGAGCTGCAGGCCCTAGTGTGTCAGGAGGAGCAGAAGGAGGAGGAAGCTCGGCGCGAGGCTTTCTCTCTCAGGCAGAGAGTGCTGGAGTGTGAGGCTGGCAGAGAAGCAGCGCTGAATGAGGTAGATGGCCTTCAGCTCTGTTAACAACATGCTAGAGCAAACATTCCACCTTTGAATACCTGCTGCCATACTTATGCAAAGACAGAAAACATGAACAAAAAGACACTTTATATTACAGTGATGGTTTAGCTTAAGTTTTAAATATTTTGTCAAATGTATTTGAACTGCGGTTTATTAGGTAACTTGATTTCATTGCAAAAATATATAATGTTACTCGCCGTTTTGATACACTAGGTACAGTACTGGAAAGGTCAGAGGTCATTCTATAAAATATATTTGTTTTTCCATCTTTAGTCCCATGACCCCTTACCTCGGGGGGCGTAAGCATGAGGGCAACTCCAAATGGATTACATTAGTATGAGGTACTTGAAGTCTGGTTCATGTATCCTTTTTCAAACTAAATACAACAGATATCTAAACATCAAACATCTGAGCTTAGTTGAGAAGCTCTGCTATAAAAGCATAAATATGTCCAAAGTATATTGTTGTTTCAGTCTATGCCTCAACAATGACTCTTTTCCCCCTTAACATCTGATGAAACTGTTTTAGAAACCTTGTCAGTCAGGTATTTCAATCTTTTCTCCTATTTTGAACAATCCTGATCTTAGCAAATATTTGTTGTCAATCAATATAACCAAATGGACGAAATCAGGTATAAAGCAATTGAAACATTTGTTTCACAAAGATATAACATTGAAATCATTTAATGATTTAAGAGCAGAATATGACATTTCAAATAAGGATTTTTTCAGATACCTGCAAATTAGGAACGTGATCCAATCAATTACTAAAAGCAATAAATTGAGATCGGGAATGTTGGAAGAGGAGGAGATATTGATGTCATCGACCACGATCAAAGGTAAAATTAGAGAATTTAATGCAGTTTTTTCTAAAAGAGTTCAGTCATCCTTTCCAACTTTAAAAAAGATCTGGGAAAAGGACTTGGGGATACAGATAGATGAAACTACTTGGCTGAATATCTGTGAAAGAACACATTTTCCATTCACAAGCAATAAAATCAAAGAAGCAAACTTTAAATTTCTCAACAAATTTGACCTCACACCCATAAAGATGCATAACATTTCCAAAGAAAACTCTCCAAAATGTCCGAGATGTAAAGTAAAAGAAGGAACATTTATGCATCTGTTTTGGGACTGTGATCTCTTGAAACATTTCTGGGATTCGATTCATGCGCTCACAAAAGCCGTTTTAGGCATCGAAATGAGCCAAAATCCATGTTTTTTCCTGTTAAATTATATGCCAAACTTTAAACTGAACCCCAAACATTATAGAATACTAATCACAATAACATATTTTGCCAAGAAATGTATACTTTTACTCTGGAAGAATGAACGTCCTCCAACATTTAAACTTTTCATTGATCAGATAACACATTTTTTACCTCTGGAGAAAATGACATTGGAAAAATATAATCGTGGACATACAGTATCTTTCAAGCTCTGTGATTGCCATTATTTTCTTATTTGGAAAATATATCTGAGATATGACCAGTGATGGAATGGTGCATTCTGTGGCTATTTTTCCTGACGGCCGGAAATACTAGTTGTGTTGTCATTGTCTATATTGTCGCTGTATTGTATAATTAATTTTATAAAACGGACAAGTCAAATCAAGCAATCTGATTGGTTCTTAGCCGTGATATACTGAGCGTATACCGTGATATACTGAGCGTATAAGCAAACTGCCTGCAGTTTGCTTTTCATACTGGAACAAGAAAGCAGCGGAGAAGTAACGGGGCAGAAGCTGGGCAGCAGCCCTCCTTTTTGACGCAGCGGTCCAGACATAGACATCAAACGGCAAAACATATTCAGTGTGCAGTTCCTTTGGCATTAGGGCAGGGATATCTAGATACTTTTGAAGGTTTAACATAATGAATTGTGCTACTTTTAAAGCAAGCAGCAATGTTTTCAAATCTGTAATCAAAGAGGTCCGCA